CACGCACGCACGCACACACGCACACACACACGCACACACACACACACACCAACACTTGCAGGCATATATATATCTACAAACATATGTATGTACATATGTGTTTACATATCCGATATACCACAACCCCTCAGCCCTTAACATGCGTTTGTGTATGCACATGTACAAGCCATAATCGATTCACGCTCTCCTCTGTGCCTGGAAAGGCCAGCTTAGCAGAAGCTCGCAAAGCCTTAGCTCGCGAGGACTTGAGCTGAAGACACCAAGCGGTTTAGGGTTAGGGTTTAGCGTTTAGGATTTAGGGTTTAGGGTTTAGGGCCTGGTTTAGGGCTTAGGTAGGAGTTGTATTTTCAAAAAATTGTAATGCAGGGGCCTGCCTTAGGATTTTGGAGTTGTATAGTTATCGTATAGGCTCAGGGTTCGAAGTTTGGACTTGGCTTCATGGATTATGGAGACTATATAAGATTCAAACCCGCCTCAGCCTAATAGCCCGGGTAATCATGTATAACATGGTCCTATATTTTTTGTCTGGTTGTAGTATAGTGCACCTTAAGAATGAACCTCGACGATTAGTTATTCAGGCTTCTCCCGTTTTGTTGGCATTGAGTGAAGGATCGCATACAAGGAACGGATACTACTGGTATGCTTTGTGCGCTGCAGGAGTGGAGAGACCAAGTCAGGCAACGCTTGCAAGAAGCCATGCAGAGCTAGCTGCTCAACCCCTTCCGTGCCCATGGCTGGCAGTTGATCAGCAGGGAATGAAGGAATGGAAAAGAAGATAGAAACTACTATGATGGGCTATATACAGGGACTACTATAAGGATCCATTCCTTCATTCCTAGCTAACCGAAAGCCAGCTCAAGGGCCCATAGTGAAGATCTCAGTCATCTTTTTGGCTATTTAAGGTCGGCTGGTTGAGCCTTTGCGAGAGGCCCTGGCGGTCCATTCCTCAGCAGAAGGGTGTGAAGCTGAGATTCAGTCAGTAATTATAACAACAGTAACAGGAAGAATAACAATAAGAATATCTAGTAGTAAGAACAATAATCATATGGAGCCATAGCGCGCGAGCCACAGCTTTAAGCGGAAGATGCAAAAAGCGAGGAGCTCAGAATGCCTCAGAAAATTGGACTGCATGGTCTGCATCCCTCAAACGCTGTGAGGATGGAGAGGCAGCAAGCTTGCCAGAGGAGGAGGGAGTTGGATTGATGCTTGCAGCAATCTGGCGGCAAGAGAGTGACAGGAGTTGGCACCTGCCCGTCAGATTCTGGCAGAAGAAGAGCGGAAGGTCCGAGCGCTCCTTATTAGACGAGCTATAGTCTTAGCTGCAAAAAAAAGGGTTATATGGGGGAATCATATAGGGGAATATTATATAGTATATAGGGGCTATTAAGGGGTCTACTAGGAGTTTAGACAACGGCTCAGATGTCCTGCAGTGGTCTGTAGCCAGTCTCGGCCATATGCCTTGAGGACTCGTTGTAGCCAGCCCGTTGCAATCAGCGCTCGTCCTTGAGCACGCAGGAAAGGGCGTCATCAGCACTGCAAGAAGCAATCCGAGCCGGTGACGAAGCTCGTTTGCGCGAGGCCCCCTTGGCATAAGCGCCAAGATTTTGAACTGTCAAGCTGACACAACCCATCTAGCTTTTGACGGGGCTCTTCTACAGCATGATAATTCCCATAAATTATGGGGGCCCCCATATACAGGATCTCTACAATTTTGGAATGTCGCTTTGACCATCTTGTTCAGGCCATCTCCTTAGCACAGCGGGCCGGTGTCGATGCGTCCGAGCTCGCCAGAGCCAGGGAAGCACTTGAAGTGGAGGTCTTAGCATCTCCGGGTCTTGTTTAGGGTTTAGGGCTTAGGGTTTAGGGTTCAGGGTTTAGGGCTTAGGGTTAACGGTTTAGGAAAAATCTCGGAAGAATGGACCCACCACATCCCTATATGCGGGCTTCCAGGGATCGCTTCTTGAGAGTCCCTAAGTTTCATTGGGGATTGCAGTGTACTAAGGTCCTGCAGTGGTGCTCCCTACTTCTGACAGCCCACCAATTACAGTTACCGTGTCAAATTGGGAGCCCTTACCCTAATCCCTTGCCTCCACAAAGGCGCTGGGAGAGCGGACAGCTGCGAACCAAAGACTCAGGGATGCAATCGATGCAAGGTGCCTCAAGTCAAGCGCAAAGTTGGCAGCTATGTGGGGGTTTCCAAAAGTTAGGGGCACCATTTTTGGGATCCCATAATGAGGATGATAGTATATTGGGGTCCCCCTGCTTTGGGAAACTACCATGTGTAGGGATATAGGCATTTACGAACAAGTGTATGTATGTATCCACTTATAGGCTTTACAGGGCCCTAGGATGTGCATAGATATGTTTGCATGTATGCAAATATGTATATACATATATGTACATGCATGTATATATACATATATACTACATATACACATACATATTAGATATATGTACATATATACTTGTTTGCATATCTACATATATATCTATATATACATATACATAAACATCCTAGGGCCCTGTAAAGCGTATAAATTATACATACATATATATATACACATACATACACACTCATTCAACATGGGGATTAAGGAAAGCAGGTGCATATATATATATATATATGGTTTATAAGCTTTAGGGAGCAGGGTGAGCTGAGCTAATCGCTTCTGTGCGGGCCTCAGCTCAAAAAGGGAGCCGGGTACATTAAAGGGGGAGTATAGTTGACGCCTGGCAGGGACCCATCGATGCTGCAGCAAGCGATTGATTATGGACGGCGGCATGGTGCGGATGATTCCCTGCTGAAGGATGCTCAGCGCATGTGCCTTCGTCGCAAGCTTAAGAACCGTAATTGAAAGCAATAGTAATAGTCGTAAGAAAAGATTAGGTAATAGAATAAAGAAGCCTAGAAGCTTCAAAAGTGGCGTTGAGCACGTCACCGTGCTTGTATTCGAACTGAGGTTAGAGGAGGCTGCACGCAAGCAGGCAGCACAGAGTAAACTGCAAGAGGCAATGGCTAGTCAAGATACACAGAGGCTGCAAGAGGCGATCGATTTTGGTGCAGGACTCCTGTCAGCGGAAGACATCACAGCCGCCAAGAGCTTGCTCTCAGCCTTGGAGCGCAGAGCAGCAGCTCGCAAGCAATTGTCGGAAGCTGTCGCCGCAAAAGATCCAGTGAGGCTCCGTTCAGCGCTGGATGCTGGCGAGGCAGCTGGTCTGTCTGCTGAGGAGTTGGCCGAAGCACGTCAGCTTCTGGGCCAAGAAAGCCGCAAAACGGCTGCTCGGGAGGCTCTGAATGCGGCCGCTGCTTCCGGTGATGCAGCGCGACTAAAGGCGGCCGTGGCCGAAGCTGAAGTTGCTGGCCTGCCAGAGTCCGAAATCGCCGCGGCTCGAAAGGCGCTAGCGGAGCTGGAGAAGTTGACACGAGCAAGGCAACAGCTTCAGGCTGCAGTCTCTGCCCGTGATCCTCAGCTTCTGCAAGAGGCAATTGGCTTGGGCGAGGCAGCTGGCCTTTCAGAGCAAGAGCTTGCAACGGCCAGAGCCTGTTTAGAAGACGAGCTGCGGAAGAAGGCCGCGCGACAGCAGCTGCGGCAAGCAGAGCAAAGTGGGGAGGTCTCCGAGTTGCAGGCCGCACTGGCGGAGGGAAGGTCTGCTGGACTTGCACCAGCAGAGCTGGCCGCAGCTCAAGGTGCATTGAATTTTGCCGAGAAGCAGCTTGTGGCTCGGCGGCTTTTGCAGGAAGCCGTGAGGTCTGGAGACATCCCAGAATTACGAGGAGCGCTCGAAGAGGGCGAGGCTGCCGGCCTCACCGAGGACGAGCTCCTACCTGCGAGGCAAGCCCTCAGCCGAGAGGACGGGAAGATGGTCGCAAGGCGGCGCTTGCAGGACGCAGTGGACAGCAGAGATCTCGGTGCTCTCAGGGTCGCGCTGGACGGCGCCTCCCGAGCAGGGCTTACAGACGATGATCCGTTGGTCAAAGCGGCAAAGACCGTCCTCGCAGACGTCGATCGCCAAGAGAGGGCCGCCCAGGCGCTGAGAGCTGCTTGCAAGGCAGAAGATGTGGAAGCGTTGCGTGCAGCGCTGGAGGAAGCGCGAGCTGCAGGAGTACGGGCACAGGAAATCTCTGAGGCAGAAGCTGCCTTGCAGCGCATGGACGCCAAGCAAGCTGCCCGGCAGCTGTTGAGGCAAGCGGTGGTGTCTCGCAAGGTGGATGAGCTTCAAAGCGCCATCAGCGCAGGAGAGAAAGCAGGATTGAGTGCAGCTGAGCTTGAGGAGGCCAAATTGGCTTTGACTGAGGAGGAGCGCTGTGCGGCTGCACGCCGTGCCTTGCAAAAGGCTTTGGTGACCAGGAACAAGGAGGCTCTCCAAGAGGCCTTGCGCCAGGGGGAAGCAGCAGGTCTTCCTGCCAAGGAGCTGGAAGCGGCCAGGGCCGCTCTTGCGGCGGAAGATGCCAAATCCAAGGCCCGGTCCCGGCTGCAAGCAGCCATGAAGGCCAAGGATGTCGGGCAGCTGCGGGCAGCGATAGCAACTGCAGAACGCAGCGGCCTAGGAGCGGAGGAGATCCGGCCAGCCAAAGATTTGCTGCGGGAGCTCGAGAACAAGGCGTTGTCAAACTGAAATTGCAACCCAATAACCCCCATATAATCCCTGTAGTTTCCATTTTCTTTTCCATTACCCCTATATACCCCAAATATAACCCCTAATATAACCCCCAAAGCCTTTTCTGTATGCAGGAGCTGGCCATGAAGAAGCTCCGTGAAGCAGTAGCTTCCCGCAACGTTGATGCGCTGAGGAGCCCCTGCATGCCTTGCAGCAACAACATCCTTGGGGTGATATTTGGGGTATCTAGGGATAAGGGAAAAGAAGATGGAAACTACAGGGATTATGGGGATTATGTAGGGGTTATTGGCGAAAGTCCTTGCTGGCAGGGCCGCCATAAGCAAGGGCGAAGCATGCGGCTTGAGCCCGGAAGACCTTGCAGAAGCGCGTCGAGTACTCGCAGAGGAGGAGGCTGAGATCTGGCTTAGGGTTTAGGGTTAACAACAGGGATTATAGGGATTATGTAGGGGTTCTTGGGTTTATGGGGGTAATATTAGGGGTATATAGGGATAATGGAAAAGAAGATGGAAACTACAGGGATTATAGGGATTATATAGGGGTTATTGGGTTTATGGGGCTTTTGGGGTTTAGGTCCGAAAGGCAGGTGCCCTGCTTGCTGAAAACTGTTCAGGCGAAGCAGAAGGCCAGGAAAGCTCTCCTCGAAGCGGAAGCTGGTGACAGCGTGCCGCAGCTTCAGGCCAGAGGTGCATGAATGAATGTACGGTAGGGACCTCAATCAATAGAATGAATAGGGTTTTGTGGAGGTTGTGCTTTTGTCATGTAAGGATTTCACACAAACAAGTCTTGAAGCGAGGGCCCTGGTTCTTGGGAGGCTGCGCTGGAGGCAGGCCGAGCGGCTGGGCTGGGACCGGAGGAGCTGGCTGCTGGTCATCGGCGTATGGAGGAGCTGCAGCAGCGTGCCAACGCCGCCAAAGCCCTGGAAGAAGCCATGAGGCGGACGGATTGTTGCGTATGTCGCATGCACCATGGCCCAAGCGTTCATGTCACTACTCATTGTCGCTTCTCACAAATCTGTTGGATTTGCTTCAGGCACGGAGGAGTGGAAGAGCTGCGAGATGCCCTGAAGCAAGCGGAAGCTTTAGGCGTCAGTGCCTTGCTGTTGGATGATGCTCGGGAGCTCCTTCGTCGCCGTGAGCAGCAGATGAAGGCGGCAGAAGCCTTGCAAAAGGCCATCCATTCGGGTGACATGGCGGAGCTACGTTCTGCGATCCGCCAGGGCCAAGCAGCAGCTCTTCCTGCTGAAGACCTGGCAGCCGCGATGGAGAAGCTCGCCGAGCTTGAAGAGGCCGAAGCGAGGCAGCAGAAGGAAGAGGCTGAAAGACAGCGAGAATTGGAGAGACAAGCAATGCTGGAACAGGCAAAGAAAGATCATGCTGCCGAGTTGCTCGCAGAGGCCAGCAAGTCCCGAGACGTAGACAGCCTGCGGGCTGCAATCGATGCCGCAAACAAGGCTGGACTGAACGACCAGAATCTGGAAGAGGCAAAGAAGATCCTGGGTTGCTGTTAAGGAACTTAAATCAGGTTACTATATTGGGGAAACCCTATTATTTATGATATATACCCATTATGGTAACTTAATTTAAGTTCCCATAAACAGCAACCCAGGATCTTAGCACAGGAGGAAGGCAAGTTGGCAGCCAGAAGCTCGCTTCAGGCTGCTGTGGCTTCCGACGATGCTGGGTTAGAATGGGTATATATATATATATAGCAAATAATAGGGTTTCCCCAATATAGTAACTTAAATTAAGTTCCTTAACAGCAACCCAGGATGCTGAGCGTCTGCGGGAGGCCTTGCAGCGTGCAAGCCAGGCGGGCCTGGACAATGAGGACTTGGAGAAAGCCCAGAAAGCGCTGGAGCAGGCGGAGAGGCGAGCAAAGGCTCGACAAGGACTCCGCGAGGCACTTTCTGGAACTGCCACGTCGGAAGGATTGCAGGCTGTACTGGAGAACGCCCTCAGTGCCGGCTTGGGTGACACCGAAGCCGATGCTGCCTTGCTTGCAGCTGCGCGGCAGCGAGCAGCAGAGCAAGCTGCAAGAGAGCGGCTTTCAGCGGCCATGTCCAGTGAGGACGTTGAGCAGTTGCAGAAAGCCATCAAGATGGCCGTGGACTCTGGCTTCACAGGGCAGGAGCTGGAAGATGCCAAGAGCCTTTTACAGGTCCTTTTGGCAAAAGACGCCGCCCTGAGTGAGCTGAAGGATGCTTGCAGCTCTGGAGATCTGGACCGGCTGCGTGCTGGTTTGGAGAAGGCAGAGTCCCTAAACCTTGGGGAGTCCGACAGGCAAGAAGCGGAGAAGAGGCTTCAACAATTAGAACGTCAAGCCACAGCCAGACGTCGTCTGAAGGACGCCATGGGATCTGGCGAAGCCCAAGCATTGCGAGCTGCGTTGGAAGAGGCAGCAGAAGCCGGCCTTTCTGCAGAGGACTTGGCAGCAGGCAGAGCTTCCTTGGCTCAAAGCGAGGAGCGAGCACAGCTCGCGCGCACTCTCCAGGCAGCGCAGGCGGCACAAGCAGCACAGGAGGCACAAGCAGCACAAGCAGCGCAAGCAGCGCAAGCGGCGCAAGCGGCGCAAGCGGCGCAGGCAGCGCAAGCAGCAGCAAGAGGAAACTCGGACGCAGCCAGCCAGAATTCACCAACTGCCACCACCAGCCTGGAGCCGCCTAATGACGTCCAGGGCTTGGTCGTGCTGTTTGCCAAAATATGCGGACCCCAACATAGACCCTGTATAGTCCTTACCATGGGGATACCCAAAATGGTACCTGAATTTGGGGAAATCCCCACATGTAGGACAGTTTCAATTAAGGCACAGCGTTGGGCTTGCGCTGAAACATGTTGCTTACTTGTCCTGCATGCTTAGACTCGGCGGTGTACTCCCACCTCGAACACTCGCATCTTCGAAAAATCCGAGTACATGTTCAAGAAATCATCCCTGGATGGTTGCAGCGATGAAGAGATCATCAAGACACTGCGCCAGCGGCTACGGAAGCTCTGCGTTTCCCCTGCAGAAGCCTTGTCAGAGTGCATGCAGGTGCCTGCGGTGGCGAATGCAGGATGCGATGGCAGCACCGTACCTTTGGTGGATGCAGACGTGGTGAAAGCATTTGCGGAACAGCTGCAACTTTCCGTTGAGCCAAGAACTTTGAAGTTCCTATCTGGAATTGATGCGAGTGGTCAAGGTACGGCCGTCTCTGTGAGCGACTTTCTGAATGCCCTTCAAGGCAGTCAGAGCCTTACCTCTCGAAGCAGAGACAGCCGTCCAGGTCCTGGCGACACCATACCTGCGGCATCCTCGACTGCTGGTCTCAGTGGGCCCCATGCTGCGGCCGCAGCCCGCGAGGAGAGGAAGCGGGAGTTGATGCAGCAGTCAAAGCCCAAAGAGTGCCTCGCTTTGGTCTTTTGGAGTTGGTTTTGGGCTCCCACTACTTCTGATGGCGTTTCATGTGTGTATATATACATATATATATACATATTGGTGTAGGTGTGCATGCTTTCAGTTACCGCATCACTGCAACTAGTGAACTTAGCTAAGCTCAGGGGGTCTGCTCATTTGAGAGGCACCTGCGACAGTTGGTCCTTCAGCAACGGGTCAGTCAACTCAGCCAGAAAGAAGCTCAGCTCGTGACCAACCTCAGAGAAGCCTTGTTCGAGCGAAGATCGAACATGCAAAAGATGTTCAAGAGCATTGATCTCAATGATGATGGCATTGTGACCCTGGAAGAGTTCCTCCACGCCCTGGAAGGCGCCGGTGTGGCGGTGGGGCATGAAATTGACCGCGCACGCGCGCAAGTATCTGAGGAGGAGGCAGCACGGATGCTGGCGTATTTCGACAGAAGCAGCACAGGCTGCCTCCACTACAATTTTGTGAGCCGTTTGTTGGTTCTTTTTCAAAAACATGTGAACTTATGGTGTGCGTCTTGATTCGTTTGGGCTATATAAATCAGGCTACCTCCACTACAACGAGTTCATGCGGCTCTTGCAGGGTACATTGGACCTGGCCCCAGAAGCGCCTTGGGACCCCGAGCTGGCGCGGCGCATCCCCGACATCGGTGAATATCGAGGCCCTGCAGCTTACTGGTTCTTTAGGGTTTAGGGGCGGCTTAGCAGGGACTAAGGGAATAAGATCCCTATATAACCCCTATATGATATATTCCCTTATTCCCCACTGACAACCAGTAAGCTGTAGGTTACCATCCACTTCTAAGTAACATCCGCAACTTCATGCATATTCTGTTCATTATCGAGTAACTTCTTTGTTGGGTCCGTGGCGCTGCTAACTTCGCTTAAAGCCTCCTGCCACCCTCCGAATGTGGTGCCCTCCTGTGGTCGCCCCTTGCAAAATGGGTTTAGGTTTTAGGGTTTAGGGGCCCTGGGGTTCTGATTCAGATTCTGGTTGGCGATTGAAATTATTCCTGCTTTTGCACATGGAAACTTTCAGTCCGCTAGGCCAAGCGGGGAGACAAGCAGTGGATTTGAGTGGAACTGGCTTGATACGAGCCGCGTTGCCCTCAGCTGCTTCAGAATGCTCGGAATGTTGGGAAGGACAATAGGTAAGTACTCGAGTAATTAGGAGGGTTTATTGCCATACTATATCATACTATAATGTATTATATACTATGTTCTACTACATTGATAATGCATCATGCTATGTTGCACGGTGTTCTATCATATGGCAGCAGCAGCAGCAGCAGCAGCAGCAGCAGCAGCAGCATCCACAAAATCCCACGGCTAAGTTCCGAGGCTGCTGGTCTTCACGGTGGGATGTCTCCGGATGAGCAAACGGTGCAGACTGCCTCTCAGCCACCTCCGTGCCAGCCTAGGGTTTAGGGTTAAGGGTTACGCAGTAAACATGACAGTGGCATTGCTAGTAGCATCAGCCATAGTAGCGTAGCCATAGTCATTATAGTGGTAGAAACTTTGATGTAGTAATGATAGCAAGAACTCTCATAGTAGTAAGATGGTCTTGATAGTGACACGGGTCATAATAGTGAGGTCATGGCACTACAGGAACAACAGTGACAGTGATTTAGGTGGGGCATTTTGGGAATCATATCCCCTAAGCTATTGACTTTGATAGTAAACTCCTAATAAGACATATACGCCCTAAAGGCGTAGTATGTTGGGGTGGGTTATTATGAGCAGGGTTGAGGAGTGCTGGCAGGGGTGAGGGTTCAGGAGTCGCTACACCCCTGAAGATTTCATGCTGAGATGCTGCTCATGTTGGTCAGGAACACTTTTGCGAAATGGGACGTCAACCAAGAGACCTGGCTGAAGATCTTGCGACTTCGGCAAATTGCGCTGGCAGGGACCGATCCCATATTCAGGTACGCTATACTATAGTTTAACAAGGGATCTAGAACAGAAATATTGGTAATTACCCCATAAACCCCTAATATGAACCCAGTCTCTATTTCATTCTTTTCCATCTGACTCCCCATTGTTGAGGCGACGTCCCATATCTTCGGTAACGCTAATAATCTCCACGGAGAGAGAAGGAGACAGAGACATATATGGCCCTTACAGCCCGGAGAAGAAGAATTATGTGTGTGTGTATATATGTGTGTGTGTATGTATCCCGATCTAGAATTTTGCAATTCAGTAGTGGCAAACCCTGAAATAGCAGCAAAAGCATCTACCCACTGTTGCTTAGTGGGGAGTGGGGGAGTGAATATAAGTTCCAATATGGGCGTATAGATTGGGGATTATACAGAGATCATTCTATGGAGTCACTCCCACAACTCAACTCTCCCTTCATGGGTTAGGGTATAGGGTTTAGGATTTAGGGCTTAGGGTTTAGGGTCCAGCAAGATCCAAGGATGGCAAGATTTCAGAAAGGGAGCTGCTCTCTGTTCTTCGCAACTGAGCTTCTCCAGCCGGACATTTTGGTAGTTTACAGAAGAATGGAGACCCCAATCTAAGCCTCCAAAGACTATACTTAATACAGTGCCCCACATCGGTACACTAGACTTTGGAATCCCTTGATCCCTATAACTCTCCATGTATTTAATCCCAGTCAACGTTTCATTTTCTAGGATCTTTTCCAGTTGATTTTCCGCAGTTGGGGTTACATCCTTGTATACCCCACATTTGGGAGGCTTGCCTTGAGCCACCCGTGTTCACCTGAGGCAAAGTAGATCCCAAAATCCGAGACAAGGCCCGGTCCGTTTGATTCTCGATTGCTGGGTTAATTTGTCCTTACCTGAACCCTAAAAGTATGTCGAAAAATGGCTTTTGGGCTATTTCTAGGGGCTTTGGGCTGTTATTTACGTACATTTGGGGTCCAGGTAGTTATCTCCCTATGTATGATCCCGGCCCCAGCCAAGCATCCCCCCCGCCACCCCCATGCTTCAAAAAGTGTCAACAGTCACAGATTTGGGGTCACTCGCAACTGTCGCCGGTTTTGGCGCCTCAAAACCGCCATCCTAGGAACTGTGGTCACGTTTAATGAGACTATATAAGACTAATAATACTAATACTGATATGGTCCCTCGTGCTTTCGTCGCGTCTCAAAAGTACCAACAGTTATAGGGATCTGGGTGGTCCTTATCGCGGTCCTCGCAACTGTCGCCGTTTTTGAAGCCTCATGCTCTTGTCGCATGTTAAGCTAGTCACAGGGATCAGCGAGGTCATCGTTTTAGATTTTATTTGCAGAAAATGACTTTCTAGTGTGACGAACCCATAACTTTCTGTCAACCTTCTTGAAATCTTCTTCCTCATAAACGGTTAGCAACCCTCTATAAACCATTCATAAATGTAATGTAAACCACAAGACCCAGACCACAGGACCACAAGGGGGGTGGGGTAGTAGGTTATCATCTTTCACAAGCACTATCAACCGTCTATGAACCTTCGTTTAAACCACAAGAGCCACACCACAGGCTACAGGACAGCAGCAGGACGGACAAGGGGGAGATGCTCCTACACCCCAAACCCCAAATTCACAACCACACCACAGGGGGGAGGGGCAGAATCTTCGATTTTCCCACATTTGCGCTTCTTTCCTAACCGAAAATCATCAGTCATAACGTAGGTTAGCGGGGCGGGGGAAACCATCTGGCGGGGGCGGCCGCATGCTCTTCTGGTAGGTTTCTGCTATTGGGATTGCTCCTGATTGTCGTAAACTAGACGATTTTTAGGGGAACAGCTGTTGCAACACAAATGCCATGCGTATCCAGGATGTGAGGATACTTTTCGAGAAGGCAGACTGCAACGGCGATGGTTTGATAGTGCGGACCCCTGCACGTGCATAGTTAGAAGTCTTTTGCTACCCACCTCGTGCAAATTGAGGACTACCAGGAGTTTGTTGCCTGGCTCTTCAAGTGACTGCCATACCCACGCCAATGGACCAGGCGGACAGTCCAATAAATCTTTGTATAGGACGGTGGATGCTGGAAGTGCCAGGAAGGTAAGAAAATACTCGGTTGCTGTTAAGGAACTTAAATCAAGTTACCATAGTGGGTAAAAGCAGTAATTAATTTCGTCCCCCAATACTAGTAATTTACAATCCTTAACAACAGCCCCAAATGTGACTGAGAGCCGCGACGTGTCAACATGTCCTCCTGCCGTGACGTGTTTGGGCATCCTCCCCAGCAAGTTCTCTTTGGCTTCTGCGAAGCAGAGTCAGGCAAGCAGTTCTAATTACTATTGGCCAAGATCTTATTCAAACCTAGTGCGGCTGCTAAGCAGCCACAATGCGAGATCCGAATTCTTTTGCAGGAGGTCAAACAAGATAAAGATAGATCTAAGCGTTTCCCAAAAGTAGGGTTACCATTAGGGGGATCCTTATAATAAGGGTTATGATATATGGAGTCTATATTAGGGTCACTGCTGAAAAGCCCTTCCTGAGCATGTCTAGGGTGTACCATGTGCATTCATGTGTTGCCATTTACTCTCTGTAGGCACATG